GACTTATATATCCTTTTAAAGATTTAATTAGTAAGGCTACTAATTATAATTATTTTTTTATCTCTATATTATAACTTATTTCTTTTCTTTATATTAAGATAGTTTAAAGAATCTTTATAATAATATATTTTATATTCTTTCTATTTCTTTTTAATTTCTTAGAGGAGTTTTAAATCTTACTTAATTTAGTAGCTAATTATAATTTATTATAAATTACTTTTTTTATTATAGTATAATATTATTTATACTTTTTTTAGTATCTTTTAAAAGTAGTTAAGGTGCTAGCTAAGTATATTAGCTTATTTATTTTCTTTCTTTTTAATATATATAATTTTAAAATTATATTTTAATAGTTCTTTAGTTTAATATACTTATTATTAGTTAAGTTTTTTAATTATAGTAAACTTTATAAGGTTTTTATAATCTAAGTAGATTATAATAGGGTATTTAGTGTATATTAGATAGTATCTTTACTTCTTAAATACTTTAATAATAACTATTAATTCCTTATTAGGTATTTTATAATATAGTTTTAGTCTATTAAGTTTTTTTAATATAAATACTATTAGGTAAAGTCTACTATTTTTATCTTATTATTTTAATTATACTTTTAGGCTATAGTCTAATATATCTATTTCTAACTTAAAAGGTTTTAAGGGGTCTACTTAGTAGAGTATAGGGTATTTATATATAGCTTATTTAGCCTTTTAAAATACTTCCTATTTTTTAGGTTCTTATTTAAATAATTTATTCTTCTTAGTAAGTTTTATAAGAGCTTATATTTTAATATTATAGTTTTTTAGAAATCTTTTATAGAAGTTAAGGAATTTAAAGAACTTTCTAATTTTAATAATATTTATTAATATTAGCTATTCTAGGATAGCATTAACTTTTAATTCTTATATTTAGATCTTTCCTAGTTAGATTATATATCTAAGGAAATTTACTTATTATTTATAAAACTTATATTTAGATAGTTTTATTAATAAATTTACTTTTTATAGTTTTTAGAAAACTTTATATATATATTTTTTATATTCCTTAAGAGTATTTAAATAGATAAAGATATTATTAAGATATATTATTATAAAGTAGTTTAAATATTTTTATAGGATATAGTTAATTATTATTTAGAAGCTTATAAGAGTATTAGTAAATTTAAAAGGTATAACTAAGTATTTAAAGTACTTTAGGTATATCTTAAAAGTAGTTTTCTATTTATTATCTTTTTTAATATAAACTAAGTTATATACTTTTTTTAAATCTAAAATTATAAATTACTATATTCTTTAGAACTTATTTTATAATTTAGAAATTAGAGATAGTAGATATTAATTTTTAATAATAATATTATTTAGTTATTAATAATCTATATATATCTATAATTTACTATTTTTCTTAAATATAAAGAAAATAAAATATCTACTTAGTAATATTAATAATTAGATATATTCTTTTTTTAGTATTTTTTTAATATACTTTCTTAGGGTTTAGAATTATATCTTATTAAGGTTATAGATAAATATAAACTTTAGTTATATATTTTCTTTTAGGGGTATTTTATAATCTTATTAGCTATATTTAGATAGTCTAGTATTTAATTTTTTAGTAAATATTTTACTATATTTTTAGTATTTCTTTAGTATATATTATAGTATCTTATTTACTATTAGTTTAGTTTTAAAGCTTATAATAGCTTTTATTATATATACTTATTTATATTTTCTTCTTTTTAATAGGTAATTTAAATTTTTTATAGTAAGTATTTTAAAGTAGATTATTATTTTAAAGGCTTTTAGTTTACTTAAAGATAATTTTTTTAGTTAATATTTTTTAGAAGCTAAGTTATTTTCTAGGTCTTACTTAGTCTTATTTTAAATAAGCTAATTAATTACTTAGTTAATCTATAGGTTTCTTATCTATAGTTATAGTATTTTTAGTATAATAGGGTAGTTTACTATTTTAATGATATTAAAAGAGATATTATCGATTTTTCTAGTAATAGTAATATAGAGGTATATAATCTTAGTACTTATAATTCTACCTTTATATTTGATAGGTATTCTATTATATATATTTAGAGTATATAGCTAGTTCTTTATAATTTATAGGAGTTTTAATTTATTAATAATTATAAGTAAAATAAAATTTTATTATACTTTACTATTTACTAGGGCTATATATTTTTAGCCTGCTAGGGTAACTAGTACTTTTAAATAGTAGATTTATTATCTTTCTATAATATTTATTTTTTATATATCTTTTAAGGATCTTAGTTTTATTATTTAGGTAACTTCTTTAGTAACTAATAATATATTATTATAGTATTGTCTTTATAGATTACTTAATAGCTATTATAGTTTTTTTATATTTTTATATTATAATTATAATTTTCTTTTTAATTTTATTATATTTTCTTTATTATTAATTAAGTTTTAAGTTAATTCTAACTACTTATAAGTTTCTTCTTATAGGTCTTATTTGATTTATTTAATTTATTTTACTAAGTTTCTTAGTTTAAGGTCTTTTAGAATTTATAAATAGTAGGTTTACTATTTAGTAGTACTTTCTAGGTTTAGTAGGTATTATACTATTTCTTATTTTAACTGTTTAAGGTCTAGTTCTTTCCTAGTTACTTTAGAAATCTATTAGAATACTTTCTTTTCTAGTTTTTTAATAATTTCTTAGAGGATTTTTCTTTTCTCTTTTTTTTTTAAATATAATATAATAGCTAATTAGTAGAATAGTAAACTAGTTTTCCTATTTCTAGTTTGTTTACTTAGGTTTTTAAGACTTAGCTAATTCTTTTAGTTTAGTAAGTTTTTCTTTATTAAAGCTAATATATTCTTTTAAATTATTAATTTGCTATTAAAATTCTACTCATAAGTCTTTACTATAAAGTGTCTTTTTTAATTAATTAATATAGTCTAGGGTATTAAAGATAACTTTTTATTATTTCTAAGCTTAGAGATTAGTAGCTTATAGAATACTATATAGATAGTTAACCTATCTCTATAAGTTAATTAAGTTACTTTTAATATCTTCTTTAAGTTTATTATAGAAATATACTAGAACCTATAGTTTATATAGATATTTTTCTTTTAAATTCTTTTTAAATTACTTTAGCTTATTATAATCTTATATAATCTAGATTACTCTTAGATTACTATAAGTATAGGTGATCTACTATTTTTATAATCTAGTATATTTCTATAGTTTATCCTTTTCTATTAGTTTTAACTACCTAGCCTTCTGTTTTAGCTAAGTGTAGCTATAATATTCTATATTTATAGTTTCTTTTCTAAAATTAATTATATTAAGTTTAATTTTATTAAAAATAAGTTATAGACTAGATAGTATTATATTTAGTAAATAGACTTTAATATTATTTCTTTAAATTATAGCTACTTTTCTACTAATAAGGCTAGAGCTATATATAATATCCTTTATATCCTTAGTTTACTCTTTACTTAGGATATAAGCCCTCGCCATCGCTATCGCATCCTCTACAAGCTCACTCCTGCTTGGTTGGATGGTTGGCGCCGAATTCGCACTGCCCACCTTCGTGTTAGTAGCATCAGATTTTACGTCAATTGAATCATAGTGGCAACACATTGTAATTTGGGGGTTCGCCTAGCTAGCGCCAGCAATCAGTCCAGAAGCGAGATTTCTCTATATCTATAATCTTATATCCCTCGTATAGTATAGGAAAACTCGTAGACAGTAGCTGTTATTATAAAATCAGGCGCAGACATAATTTACTCTTTCGCGTTATATTCGAAGAGGCTAGTAGTCCGCTTTAGCAAAGTACATCCCCTTGATTCAATTATCCACCACCTACAGCAAACATAGTAGAGCAAAGAACAAACAGGCTTCCACGAGTGAACCTTGGATCTGGTGGAAGCATAATGTGGTCTACTAGATATTTCTAGTAAATTTTAAGGACGAAATTGGAGATGGATTTGGCGATATCCCTAGTATTATTATCGAAACTCGACTACATCCAGTCACTAGGCGTGGATGCCGTTTGACTCTGTCCGACAGATAATGGACCTCAAGTAGATATTAGCTACGATATTACCAACTTCCGGTCCGTCTATCTACAATTTAGCACTTTAGACGACATGGACCAGTTGGTCGGTGGATGTCACGTAGATGTCGGCGCCCCGGCCGTAAGAGAAAGGATGCACCTGCGAGTACGGTAGGCGATAAGATACGCGCGGTTTGTACAATTGGCGGAGCGTGTGGTCGACGACTTTGTACAGTATTTTCTGTTGGTGGCGATGACATGAGGACGATCTTTTTCCGTTTGCGTAAGAAACATGAATTCCGTTCCTGGTCCTTCAGACAAGGAAAAGCTGATACGTTCTTTGCATCACTTTTCCATAAACTCCCTCCTTACAGAAGGCAATCGATCTTCGATTAGGTTCCGAAGCTCAGGCGTCTGGTAATCTCTCCGTAGACTTCACGAAAACCCAATTTGGGCACAGATGCTTCACTGTGACGCTACTGGCTTCGCTACATGCCGTCACTCGCTGGGCGGTTTTCTCCGCCAGGGCGATGTGATGATCAACTAAGTCATGTCCAAACACCTTCTCTGCAGGTACATCCAAAGCCTTTCGTGCAGGGCCTCTACTGACTGGCTGGGCAGCGCAACATCGCCTCCAAGGGTAGGGGAAGTTAGAAAGCTGAATAGGCTGGACATAGGGGCGGTGTGTCGAAGGCTCGCCAGACTGGAAACGAAGATTACGAGGGCGCCTAGGAAGGGGTGCTGGTGTGACGACTCTTGAAGCTTGGTCACCTTTCTGTAGTCAAAACAATCTGCGACGTTTGTTTGCGCTATGAAATCGTGCTTCTTCCTATTGTATATATCCTGTGGCTACTATCCCGCCTTCACTTTGCCCGCCGGCCCTTTGATGCTCAGTGGTCCTCTTCTGTAATACACTCGTCAAGATCGTTTATGACAGACTTCACATTATAAGACCCTTCTTCCAGCTTCCTCAATCTGCAATCCCCAGTTTCTTATCGTCCGGTTCTTGATAAGTGCCCCTGGGCTTTGCATGGCGAGTTTTATCCTTCATAATGTTCGACTTGTCGATTGCTTCCGCTTCGTCTCGCTCTATAAGCAAGTATTAATAATGAATATCAGGTCTGTAGGGCACAGGACTCACCCAGCATCTCATCGGAGTCAGCTGAGCTGGGCTTGACCGGGTCTTCGATCACCGCATCATCCTTGAGGACTGGGATGGGTTCTTTGTTGCGATTCCCCATTGTGTAGGAGTCATCTTGAACTTGGCCCTCTGGCGCGTTGCCTAGCACGTCGCGGTTGCTGGCGATATCGGCTTGTGACCGCAAATTCTTCGACATCTTCTTGTTGAGACTGATGGATCAGCTCTGCTTGGTGACTAAGTTGCAGGAAGAAGGCACATGGACTCCTGGTCTCCAGGATTTTAACGAGGCTGCCTTCTTTATATAAAGCCTGTATAATTCTTACAGGTTGTGCGAATAGCTAATTGTGGCGAAGATGTAACACCGGCGGTTTCCGCCAGTTCGTCACTCGTACTCTATCTGCATCCCATTGTTGTCATGATCATTCCATCTATGTACGGACGTATGCAGGGCGGTGGCGTGTAGCACAAGGACCAAGCCTGTATGTACATAAAGACTAACCTGAGCACTCATATGCCTTTCTTCTTGTAATTGCAATTGTAACCTGCCCGATTTGAGGGTTGACAGGAAAGATAATGACATCGGGATGAGCCATGATTGAGGAAGATGTCATATAGTGGACCTAAAATGACGTATTGATCGTCATCTGCTCACATGCTACAATGCGATGGAGTGTCCTACCCGCTGTGTACACTTAATGTAGTACCCTCTAGCTGGTATATACTGCGATCTCTTGGTGTGTACGTGAGTGAGCCAAGTCGAAACTGATATAGTGTAGGTTCAACTTGCAGTGAAAAGTGCCAAGCTGCTCTCGAGCCAGACTTGTGAAGACATCACTATCCGCCCAGTCTAAATCCTTCTCAGGCCAAATGACCAGGAAACCCCGGTACAATATACGTAAGGAAACAGTATGAATAGCAGTCCAGGCATGGATGGCATTCACTCCACTTTCATCTGACAATCGCATACCATGCTCAAAATCCACGAACTGTACCCTACTGTTCATCCATCCAAGAATCTGCAGTGAGCTACTGATGCAGTCATCTAACTATTGCCACGATCTGATGTAATGTGATCTTGCTCTAAGGTGAGACTGGCGTTCATGTTTGAAGTAAGCACTATGTTAAAGATTGCTTATCAAGTATTCTAGATAATGACTTGGATTGACTACTATCTAGGAAAGAAAAACAAGGCTAAGTATAAAGTAAAGGACTGTGGATTAAATAGCTACAATAGTCCGTTAGATTGTAACGATCCGTAGATCCCTCATATATCGATTAGTAGGACTTATAAATTGGAGCACGCCTCGAACGCGACAGGCGCCACGCCTTGGCGATGCCTTATACTCCGCCATCTAGATCGGCCACTTCCACCTCACCTCCTGGTACGCCCAATTCAGGACGGAGATCCTCGGAGCCTGCCCTTAGAACCACTCTACCGCGATCCTCCCCATATTCGACGAAACATCAGAGAACCCTGTCCGCTTTGGGTGTGGAGAGGCGAGGCAATGACAGTTCGGGTAACTTTCTCACTCCGCCTGGCACATCAGACAACCGAGAGTCCATAGCTGCTGGTGGGAATATCCGACAATCGCCGCCCCCGATAACTGGCCTTGGACGTACGTATTGCCTCTAGCGCGATCATTTCTTCGGATTCTATGTCCGGTAGCGACCACGGGGCCTTAACCTTTCGCAGAAGGAGAGCCCCCCGGCAAAAACTCTCCCTGAGACGGAGGTATTAACTGACGGTGCGCATTACAGAGACTTCCTCTCGGACTCGATCACAGCAGAATGCTCATGCTATTCTTTTAGTCTTTTAGGAAGTCTATTAACAAGCTCTGAAGAATATTTAGATGCTGAGAAGCGGGCAGAGCCTCCCATGCCCCGTAAGAAGTCGGGAGAGCTCGTCCGCCCTACTCTACACACATCTTTGCACCGACATTCCTCGAGCATGCCCAATAAGCCAGCCTTCGCCAAAACAGTCCATTTCGATACCCACCCTGAGCATGTTCGGCAGTTCCGTCAAGTCGATCGTCCGTGCGCCATCAATGGTAGGCCAAGTCCGGTCCAGAATCTCGACAACAACGCAGAATACCCGTGCCCAGTCTCTGAAGACAGATCCCCAAAACCCCGATCGCTTCCCTACGAATGGAACTCAATACATCAATCCTCCCGGCCGAAGATGTCGATCGCAACTCGGCACCTGTCAAAGTGGAGGGGTTCTGGCTGTCCAAGGATTATAAGTCACTACAGGGCTCCGTCGCCGTCGCCAACCTTGCCTACCATAAACTTGACACCTGCCGCTTCACACTAGACCACTGGGTGACGACATCCGAGGTCGCTGCCGAATATACAGGTCGAGTACATGGTACTGGGAATGACCGATGGACATTCGCCATCGGGCTGCCGGATATGGCAAATCTCGAGACCAAGACCATATACCTCTACATTCGGTATAATTTCTGTGGTCATGAATTCTGGGACAACAATCGGGGTGCCAATTTTAGGGTTGGTTTCAACAAGAAGCTTCTGCATGCTAATACTGGTATGGCGCCTCATCTGAAGTTGGTAGGGTGGGTCTCTCATCAACTGTCGACTTTCCAGAGTTTAGACGAATATTGGATGAAGCACATACATTCAGCCGTTAGAATGGGGCACATCTAGCCAAGCGCGGCATCGCGAACTCCGGAAGCGAGAACTTCAAAAGGGGAAGTAGTAGAGGAAAACCCCTTTTTCTATGGGAACAGAAGTCAGGGTATCTTCGGGAAAATAAAGTCGGATAATATTATAGCAACTATTCTAATCATCGTGAGACAAAACGGCACTCTCGAACTAGAGGCTGGCCGAACAAGCGGGCAGTGTCAATGCTGGCGACCAGGTTGTCTCACATCCCTTCAGCTGGAATATCTGGTTATCCGTTGCCTAGACGGAAATCCCGTCGTCTGGGCAGTTGGGCAGCCACATTCTAAGACTTGCATCCATCCTCTCGTTACTTCCACAGGAATTTTATTAAGTTTCCCTATTATTTTCCCGCCTAATATGTTTTTCCGGTTTTCTGTATGGGCTCTTCCTGCTTTCTATTACACCATGGCCTACTTGTCCCGGCCGGTCACTTGACGAGCTCGAGAAGTCCTCTCTTGAACGGCCAAAATTACAAGTTCCACTATTCTCCGTTCCTCGTCGAAAGAATTTCATGTATGCTCCCTTCAAGAAGCCAGGGGCAAATTGGCCTTCGCCGGCCCATTCAAGCACAGTCCCTCATTCGAGAATCGGCTTCCATGAACAGGACAATCAAACGTCATCTCCGCCGAGTTATAACAGACAACACCTTTCATGTGGGGGCACAGGGCGCTCATTTTGACAACCTTCCCATCTTCGCCCTTGTAGGCCGCAACGGGCCTCCCGAGTGTGGGGTTCAACACCGCGCCCGAACCGGGGGCCAAATCCTCAATGTCGCTGATGTCGGTCTGCAACAGCCGCTTATACTCCTTGTTGATCGTCATCGCATTCGTCGTAATGGTCGGCACGGACTTGGCGAGCGAGGCAAACCGCTTCGGCGAGTAAAGCTTACTCCAGGGGTTGTCCTTCCCCTCGATCAAGTCGGAGATCAGCTTGCTGCCGAGGACGCCATGAGTCAGTCCGTTGCCAGAATCTCCTGTGACGATGTAGACGTTATTGCATCCGGAATTAAGCCCGATCAAGGCCATATAGTCCGCCGGCTCGTAGATCTGGCCGCTCCACCTGTAATCTACGGAACCGGCCTGGGGAAAACGGTCCCTGACCCACTTCTCGAGTTCGTCAGAGCGCCCGTTGGGACTCTCCTGGCCAACCCTATGGTCGCATCCTCCGATGACAACGTAGTCGTCTTTATCGTCGCACATGGTGAGTCGGACGTACTTGTACGCCTCAGCCGAATCGTAAATAAAGCAGTCCTCGATGCTCCCCTTCGGCACCCGAATGGCAATCGCATATGTGCGGTCGTACTGCATCTCCGCTACGACGCTCAACTTCTGTAACGGGACGCAGGTCGCCTCTACAGCCTGCTCGCACTCGACGCTGGAGCCACCTTCGGTTTTGACCATGACTTTGCTACCCCGCTCTTCGACTGACATCACCCGGGTCGAGGTGTAACACTTAAAGTTGGGTTGCTTCTGCAACCAGTGTAGAAGACCAACAAGGTACTGAGTAGGATGAAAAGCGGCCTGGCCAGCGAAAACCGCTCCGCCGCGCTGGTCAGGCTTGCCATTCCACCCGCTGATAGTCAGATCCTCGCGGAACTGCACAGGTAAGCCAAGCGACTTAGCAACATCGGCCTCTTCCTGGAGTTGCTTCATGTCCTGCTCGTGTCCCTTGTCACCCCGCTCGTACATGGAGATTTCGTAGCCGGGAACGTGTCGATATTCGCATTCAATGTTGAGCTTCTTCGCAACGTCGCCTACGTGGTTCAGCGCCCACGTGTGGCTGTCGGCAGCGATCTGCGCGCCTTCCCGTCCGTGCTTCTTCATGATGTTGATGTAGTGGTCGTCAAGCGCATTAGCAAGGTGGGCGCTCGTCCGGCCAGATTCGCCCGAGAGCACCCCGCGAGCCTCCAACATGACAACATCCTTGCCGCTCGAGACGAGCTCGTAGGCGGTGGAGATGCCCGCAATACCTGCGCCGACGACACACACCTGCGCCTTCAGGTCCGTGTTCAAGGGCTGGAACTTGGGGCGGTTGGCGTAGTCATCTCTGTGTACCCACACTGAATTGGCTGCGCCGGAGGTCTGTTCGAACCGCTTGTCTACGGGAATAGCTGAAGACACCATGGTTCGTCTCGGAAAAATATAGACTGTGAAATGACTGTTGGACTTTCGAGAAAGTGTCGAGAACCTCATTATAGGATACTCAAAACCGGTGTCGACACAAGAGTCCAACACAAGCTCAGGCAACGGGAGCTGTGGTATTCTTAACCGTCTTCATGTGGCGGCTTCCCAACGAGGGCGCCTCGATGAGCATCATAATGACTACGGCGCGGCCAACCAATGTTCGTGTTTTCGTGTTTCTACATCTATGATGTCATTAAATTATAACAGCTTCGCCGAGATTCCCTTGATTAGCCAATTAGAACCGCTCTTATTAATCCAGCATCAGCAAACATGTTTGCTCACAACGGATACCGCGTTCAACCTTGCCTAGAAGCCAAGATACGACTGAACATCGGTTTCACACGTGACGTCGTGACGAAGCCGAAATTCATCTCTGAGATCATATCAGCACGTAATCTATATCTCCCAATACTGCGTAAATATGACCCCATGTTTTGTAAACATGTCTCACGGGGATTTCAAGTTGAATATGACGGCATCTCCTCGATGACCTTCCATGGGGGGGGGGGTCTAACTTATCCTCGGTCCCCTTCTGGGCCTCGAGCTCAGTGCGAGTAGTTGAGTCCGACACTGTAAGGTCGGTAAGATGATCTTACATTTCATACGCCATTACCAGAAGCTCTGCAAGATTACCACCAGCTGGAGGCACTTCACGCACTTGCCTTTCCCCCGATAACTCGCGAGACCGACACAGGCGTGCGGCAATGGGATGACTTGCTCGGCTAGCATGTTAAAAGTACCCTGCTCACTCGTGGGCTCCTTGCAACCAAGGCTAATATGAGAGATTGACTACAACCGAGGTAATAAATAATCTCAGGATTCCAGTCTTGAAGCTACTAGAGCGGTATGCTGTGCGTTTTTCGAACTTGCAGCGGCCTTCGCCTTCCCAAAATTAGATAATAAACGGGAACGTTCATTGTCCGGCAACAAGCGACAGGCCTCCATCTACCGTAAACTTCTGCCCATTGACAAACTGATTTACGGCGCAAAACAGCACTGCACTTGCAATATCTTCCTCCTTCCCCGGTCGCTCAGCAGGATAGTTGCTTCCCTTCTCCTTGGGCATGTGGCTCTTCTGACCCTCATCGCTTCCCCCGGTTGTCATCTCGCTCGGAAATAGACCGGGCGAGATGCTGTTGACACGGATCTTGAGGCCGTTCGTCACGATATCGGTGGCCAACATCCGGGTTAGACGGAGTAGAGCTGCCTTCGACGCGTTGTACGAGAAATGATGCTGGCCTGTCTTAACCTCTCCGCTCACGCTGGCGATGTTGATAACCGTTCCAGACCACCCTTCGTGTCTTTCGGTGCTGTGGTGGAGGAGCGGCAAGAATGCTGATGTTGTGAAGTATGTCGAGGCCGCATTTGCACGGTAGACATCTTCCCAGTCCTCAAACGTGGACTTGTCCGCGCTAAACATCCTGGCTTTCAACTCGTCTGCAGATCTCTTCTTGTCATCGATGTCTAGCCTGGACCCCGCTATACCCGCATTATTGACAAGAATGCAGAGGCACTTCTCGCGGCTCGAGATATAATCATAGAGCTCAGAGATTGCTTGTTTCTTAGTCACATCGCAGGTGACTGGGATGAGCTCGCCTGGAACCTCTTTGCCGTAAGTGGCAACGACGTTTTCCAGCTTTTCCTTCGTACGACCGGTGATGTAGACTTTGGCGCCGTTGACAGCAAATGTCTGGGCGATCATGAGGCCGATACCAGAACCACCGCCTAAGGTAAGGGGTTTCTATCGTTAGCTAGACCGTCCAGGGGAATTCAGGCAGTCGCTGCTGTGAGGAAATCTCTTTAAAACAGTACCTGTGACAAGGGCAACGTGCCCTGTCAAATCAAAAAGCGAATCTCGCTGGACGCTTTTCAGAGACCGGTGACCCATATTGAGCTGTTACTGCTTAGATGGATAACCAATATATAGATTGGAATAGTAGGAAGAGTGTATCAGAAAGTAATGGAAACTGACGGGGCTATTGTAAGCTTTTTTATACCATACCTCGCAGTCATTGTTCTAATATAACCGGTCTATATCACTACTGTCATCGACCTTGAATTGTCAGTTGAAAGATATCGCTGACGTCACACTGGTGAAGCTGTGTGATCCATTACAAGTTTAACGAAAGATATATTGCGTAGGCCTCCACGGCTATAGTAGGTTTGTATACTCAGTTGATCTCCGCGTTTTACTGTAGCAAGTAGCGTGCTTTCTCTACCGTATCATTCGTTAAACTCACACAGTTTCACCAGCGTGACGTCAGCGATATCTTTCAATTGGCAATTCAAGATTGATGACGGTGGTTGTCAAACACACGTAGTATCTTGAGATAATACTGTTTCACAAATCCAGTTGGAAAATACCGCCGAGTTCGCTTATTCACACGTGAAATATTACAATTGGTGGACAGAGTGAGCTCGGTATTAATTCTGTAAGGATCGACACCCTTTTCTGGGTATAATGATCGTTTTATGATGTCCAGCTTGCAGCATGAACATTTCAAGAGTGAATTCCCGCTTACAGCCGAGTCTCTCTCATTCGGGTCTTACCTATATCGGCGATAGACCGCCGCCTCCCTACGACTTTGCTTTTCTCCACCCACCTTCCCCGCTGAGATAACTTACAAGTAATATTCCAAGAGTAAATCTACACAAAAGCGGCCCTCCAGTCAAGTAGTTCCCAATGGCTCATCACAGGCAAGAAAATTATTTGATAGAGGTGGAACGCCTCGATGCCGTATATGGTACCACAGCATAGTTCTCCTGCAGGACATCTAGCTAGTTACCGGTGACCATCACATAGAACCGTATTTGAAGGGTGCCCCCCTAATATCACCAAACATGGAGATAACCCCCAGAATCTACGGATTCGAGGTTATGTCACCCAGGGCGCCAAGTACTATTCTGGACCACTGGGTGGAGGAATGGTAGGAATACTGACGTCATGGTATATAGGCGGAGGCAATATTGCTTTGGGAAGGAATTACCCCAGATATATTGAGAGGCAGTGCTAAGGTATTTGTAGTTGGCATCGTCAAGATTTACCTTGATCATGTTGTAATGAAGGTTGTCGTCTTATATATACAGGTTCTTTAGAGGGGTATATCCTTGAAGCCGGCGTTAATCGAAACCCGCCCACTGGAAATCATTTAAAGACGGCCTGTTCCCGAGGATGTCGCGAAATTTTGAGGACAGCCCTGCGGAGGTGCAGTTGACTTACGACCCTCTTGTTTACAATACGTCTTCCATGGAAACGGAAGACAGGGCGTCTGCAGGGGTAGATTGTGTGGAATATTGCTCGGCAATTATTCCAGCCTTCGTAAGACAAAATGACACTCTTGAACTACCCGACGAAGACTAACAAGCTAGACATTAAGTCGCTCTCTCCGGCGTATAGCCCAATCTCCCTTTGCAAAACTCGGCTCCACAACATGCCCATTCATGACCGCCTCACATAGCCTTCGCTCTTCTACTTTAGATCCAATCTCATCTGAACCTCCTCCATCGATGTTAAACCCAAACACGACTCCTCGCCTGGCGGAAAACCTCACCAGATCCTTCTCCTTAGCTCTTTTAGCCCCTGTCGCCGCTTCTCCAACATTTCCTCATTCTCCCCAATACGTTCCGCCCATCCCTTCTCGCCACCCACGCTCCCGTTTACCTCGGACACATTCTGAGGTGGTCGAACTCGTGTACCGCTGCGGACAGACATTCTTGCTAAAACATCGCCGCCGACATGCGCCTTCTCGTGAGGCCCAGCTACCTCCGTAGCGACATCTTCAGTAACCCCGTCGTATAGACCTGGCGGCTCTACCGTAGAACCTTCCTGGTATTCCTCCCCTGGCTCTGGGGTACCCGATTTGTCTGAAAGCCCGTCCTCGCTATTCTTCCCAGACACCATGTCCACAGCGGCGGAGAACGGGACTAGAATCCTCTGGTCCCCTTTCACCTTGCGTCCTTTCTTCGTCTTATTCGCATGCTTGTCCCCATCGAAAATGTGAATTTAAGCTAATCTCAAAAAATAGTTATCGGCGAATATTCTGATACGAGGATAAGTGTGCTTTATTTGTGACGTCACAGTTGTGGACAGAACAGAACTCCAGCTGAACTTACGGTCTGGTGCCGCACATAGAGAGCGAATCGAAACCAAAAAGAACAGAACAGCGTAGAAGGAAATAAACCTTTATGACATTGGTGCAAATCCGTAGAAAATGGCATTTTATCACGACTTAGAATTCCAGGAAGTGTCGACGCCGTGACCCGGTATTGGGATAGGTTATGCTAAAGTACATCGCGGCAATATGCTGCTATCTCTCGGGGGCTTTCAAGAATGTCCTACCTTATTGCCTGCTGTAGGGTTATCTAACACATGTTCCGCTTGTAGAATTTATTCTAATTTCACCTCCCTCGGAGGGTCTTGCATTTGCAATCGCGCACAATCCTAGCCGCGGGAGTAGGATGCCCGTTATAAGAGAGGGAACTAGCTGTATTTCTTCTACCAGAAAATCTTTCCTCACTCCGTATGAAGAGATCAAGTCTCCACAAGATATGGAATTAATGATATGTACCATAGCTCGCCCACAACTAAGTTGTAACATATATACGACCCCCATTGGGACCCAGCGTCTCCTCATCTCCGTGATCGTTATCTACCGTCGATTCATGATTCATCCAGGTCCACCGAGAAATTCAGCGCCACCTTCCCTGCTGCGGTTTCCCAGAGATGTCAGAACAACTAGTGTTCTCCGACAGTTGTCCGTTTTAATACATGTGAACAAATCATCATAACCCTCAGACACGGGCTTGAAGTCGCTTGAAGTCGCCGAATACAAAGAGACACACCTGTGCTCTCTGCATCCCCACCATCCATCTCCGACAGACAAGTACACTCATGGGATCGGCCTCTTCCACTATATCATTGATCTTTTTGCTTAAAGGATAGAGTTTCGAGTACGATTCCACAGGAGAGAATCCTGCATCTGGCTTACTGCTATCCCATGCCAGTAGCATCCTGGAATTGTGCCGCTAAGCTGGCGAGGCAGCGGCGGCAGCATTCTTTATTACCTCCGGATCCCCGCCTGAACGCTCCTGGACGAAGTCATAGTAGGCACCGCTCTCACAGTCGGTGATATCGTCGACAGGGTAGTCGTTGGGTACAGTTGCGAGTGCTTTATTGGGTACAAGCCGACATTCCTATCCTCGTACAAGGAGGGTAGGTAAAGGCTCACGTCTTATTACTAGGGAATTTCCTAAAAACATCGGCAACCTTATCTATCGGAGCTGTCATCAGCCCCATGGCAGTCTCAAAGGGCGGATTCTCCCCAGCACTTGGGTGGCTCCGTGTGGGCACAAACGCCTTTGTCTTGTCAAACTCGTCTGACAGAGCCCTTGACTTCTCCCCCTCAAGCACCTTCTCAAGCATAGGAAGCTCCTGATCCTCTTCCTCCTTCATATGCTCGTATAGTGGTCTCCAAATCTCCTTCAATTTAGGCACGTATTCAGAGTCAGTGGCCCTCATATTCTGGAATTCTTTGAGGAGTTCCTTCACCTGAGAGAGTATCTAACGTCAGCGCCCAGTCTCACGCTAACCAAAAACGTAGACAGGAAAAACCTACTCGGTGATGTTCCTTACGGTCTATTTCTGCCATAGACTTGCCTTGGGAACCAAGATATTCTTCGAAAGCAGGATAGACAAGGAGCTCCTCGCCAACCGAGTGCCGCGCAAGCTCCCAGGTAAATTGGTTGCCATAGCGTTGCTGGTGGTCAGAGTCGGTAGAGCCGATCACCTCATTGTAGTACTGCTCAAGCTCGCGGTGATCCTTGACAATGGCGTCAGAGATCATAGGCATGTGGGCAATATAGCGGCAGGCAGAAGCTTGAAAATATCGGTGAGCTGGGCGGTTAAGAGTGAGTACCAGCCGCTTAGAGGCAAACGTGCTAGTAGAAAACATGGTAACTAGCTACCTGAGTCAAGGACCACGGGTGCCTGGATAGAACCCTATTAAGTAGTTTACTGGAGATGCACTAGGATTTATATATCAAATAGCTAGTATATATGCTAAAAGCATTTGTAATACGTGCCCTTAGTGTTCAGAGAGGCCATTGAATTTACTGCCACCTCCCTGTCTATGAGTCTGAGTCAAATGGCCGGCCCCTTACCAGAGTAGTACTGTGGTACATCATGATTATTGCAAAATAAAGTGTATTGTGTTTGTTGTGGCCCAATTGAATGTTTCATGTCGTCATCAATGATCTCATCAAATCAGCACAAGACGACAATGCTTCAGTTAAAGCCTGTTTTAAACACATGATTAAATTGAGAAAGCGTCTGGATAGCATTACTTTCAGTGTCCTCAAAGAAGGCTAGTAAGCTAATAGGTCGATACGATTCGATCGACATGCAATATTGGTCCCAAAGCCCAGCCGCCTGGTAATTTCTCCGTAGACTTCCAAAATCTTGATTTGAACACCGGTGCTCTTACTATGAGATTATCAGCTTCTGTATATGCTGTCACATGCCGTCAGAGTCGGGTGGCGTAGCTCGGGCAGAACTATGTGGTGATCAATTGCCGATATCTGACAAAGGAATGGGGCTATGCCAACTGGTTAGAGATCCCAGTACCTGCCTAGAGATTAACGTAACGCTCGGTGATAGCAAAAGCCCGGAGTATTTGCGTACGTATAAATTCCGGTATCCTAGAGGAGTCAATGGTAAGAACGGATGAGGTGGACTTCCTGTGACACTTTGCAAAAAAAGTAATAAATGGTAGGATAACAGTTATAGACTGGGTCTCAGGGTAGTCGCGATAGAAAAAAGAATTCGTGCAGTAGCTATATCTGAAGGCTGACTGCGACGGTATCAAGGTAGCGTACTCATTGGAGGAAAAGACGTCAAAATCATCACAGAGGAACATGAGGTTCCACCCTACACGCCTTAAATAAACATGGGACAATCGACTTAAGCTGGAGGACACCTAGTTAGGGCACGAAACGGATGTCTACCAACAGGCAAGATCCTACAGCTGTAGGCTCTTCTGTTCAGACTCAAGTTTGAAGGGCATATCAATCGCTTTGAAGGACCGGGCTGCTCAAGTATATGCTTCTTGTAATCGGGTAATCTGACAGATTTCGCCAATCTCTTGTGGCACCTTCATACCTCAAGAAATGCTTGTGCCCCAGTCTTGAACTCTTCAAGGACCTAAGGAAGTTGTCCATTCCGGTATGCCTGTAGCTGGCACCACCTGTTACAGTTACATACATCATGTACATTTACCATGTCTGCCTAGGGCAAGGCTATTGGTAACAAAGAACTTAATATAAAGCAGTAGCGGCGTCGTTTCTCTTGTTGTGGCACATCTGGGACTTCAGTGTTCTTGGGCAGCCTCTCGTGACAGTAGAGGAGGTATGAATATTTGGTACAAATAAATGCAGCGAACCAAGCAATTAAACGTCAGCCATAGGCCTGGGGGGGAACGAAAAACTCAGTTCACTCCTCTGCCTGATTTGCGGACGCCGTTTCGGCGTCACCTCCTTACACTCGTCGCCGAGATACCGCGCCTGAGGATACCTTTTCCGCAAAGCCATCAGTCTCGCCTTCGAGTACTCCGTATGCAACTCGTTCCAGTCGAGGAATTGCCCTAATCGATTGGCGTTATTCCGTTGTGCGACCCTCTCCCACTGGTTCATCTCACAGAACCGGTACATACAGTCAACAGTCTGCTCGACCGCCTCATCAAACGACTTTGTACGTCTGTCTATGATGTACAGTCCATGCTCCGGTCCACTGACGCCCCGTAGGACGTTCTCTATATGGTTACCAAAGCCCGAGGCGTTGCTGGTGATGGAGGGAATGCCCTTAGCGAGGCACTCAGCAGAGGTATAGCCCCAGGGTTCGTACCTGGAAGGGAATACACCAAGATGAGTGCCGCGGACGAACTCATCGTAGTCAAGGGGAAGGATTGAGCTCGATAGGCTGAGGAAGGCCGGGTGATAGACTACTTTTACCTTGTCGCTTGCGTCGTTATGTAGCCCGACTTCTTGTAGGCGATTGAGGATGAGGTCTTCATGGCTATTGATGATATCAAGGGTTGCAAGTGGGGGAACGTCATCAATACGGATACCGTAGAGGCAGCGTCGGAGCGCTGCGTTATCCGCGTCGCTGATGAGCTCTGTCTCGGTCGGCAGGGCGGAGTCCGGTTTCCACACAAGGGTGCGGTCGAAAAGTCTCTTTTCTATCCTCCGCTGGATGGATTCGAGTGCGCCTTGGATAGTTCTGAGGGTCGCCTGGCGATGCAGCACTTCTGCTGGTATGGTGGATACCTCGGCTGGCATAATGATAAAGGCTACGACGGTCGGCATCGTATCTTTACTGGTCTTCAGTCGCTCGTTGAGGGCCGCCAGGGACTCAATGAACAAATCCACGCCCTTATTAGAAAATTCATAGCGGCCGGCTGTGAAGAAATACAGGGATTTCTCAGCATCAAATCTGTCAAGCTGGCCGTAGAAGTTGCCATGGAGAAAGTCCCGTATCCTCAATTTCATATTATGCCGTAGGGCGAGGGCGGAGCTATTGGCCGGGGAGGATATCGCGGTAGGGTCCAGGCCATTCGGCAGAATCGTGTCTGCACGTCTCCCAAGTAGGTACTCACACTCTAGGGACGTGATCGCAGAAACCGTAGTCATGACATCGCAAGACTGGGCCGCGAGGCGCTCGATGCCGTGGCGGTGGTACACGACAGACTTTTGGGCTTCGGCGTCTGCGTCCAGTGATGAAATGACGTTGTAGAGATCCACCCCCCGGTCGCAGAGATCTCTGCCAAGGACAGTTGCATGCGCAGTGAAAATAGTTGCCAAGGTGAACTTCTCCTCTTTAGCTAAGAAAGCTCCTAGCGCACTAGGCCACTCATGGAACTGGGCAATAACTGCTTTGTTTTTCTCGTGATTGAGAAACTGGGGTGAAACAGTCAGTCTTTAGCTGTCAACCTGAGTTATGTAGAAACATATTACCTCTCTAAAGAACCTAGTGACAAGATATCCGAAAGTTATGGCATCGTTGGTTTTATCGTCGTCAGATGGCAGTAAGATGCCCGAGATGTTTTCAAAATCATGTTTCCACTCGTCGAAAAATGGGTAGGCTGCCTCTACATCCATCAACAAGACACGTGGATCGCCGTCGATAAGCCATCTTCCGTAGAATGTCTTGACGCCGTCGTTACTGAGTGCCTCCATGGCACACGCCATTTCACGTGAAGGCGGTTGCATCGGGCTGAATTCGCTCGCTCTCTAGGTATATAACAGTTAAACGCTATTCTCAAGTTATTTTACCGCAAACACTTACTGTCTGGCAGACTAGCCGCCCAACTAAGGTATAGCGGGCGCCGTATTTAGGTGTTGTTACAGACGCTTTCGTCTTGAGAACTGTATGAACACCGCCAACTGTTTCGCCAAGATGTTAGTAGACCGGTCTCTTATTACAAAACGGCAAGATGGTCAGGTTGAATAGGAGAGGATGGCATACCCTGGCGTCCAACTTCACTACAGACCTCAAAGAGGAGGTGATTCTCAACATCCACATCGTCGACGGGGCTGGCCTCGTTCCCTTCCCTTTTCCCTTCCCGTAGTACTTCAGCTCTAGCCGACATTGCTGTGATGTCCCTCTATTGAAGACCGCTTGGAAGGTAGTGGAAACTGACACAAGACAAAACTGAATCCAAGGCTTGAGGTAGTGGAAACTGACACAAGAGAAAAACTGAATCCAAGGCTTGTTGAGCCTGTATGAATGAATCTCTCATGTACAACCACTACCATTAGAATCTGTCGTCCTTGAGAGCCCTTACATATGATAAACTTTAGAATATTGACTCCCGGTTCCAGGAGGATGTGATGACGTTTGTCTCATGACGTTTTCATCTCATCACGACGGGATTGTCTCATGGCGCCTTGACTCGCGGTAAAGTATGCCAGATTTCATTGGTCAGCTATAGTAGCACAGGGGGCTCAACAATACACCTTTAACTAATACGGGACGAATCGGAAACCTACACCAATAGAGTTGCTCTATATTTGACAATTGTTTGTGTACTGGGATTTTCGGCAAAACAATGCGACTTTCAGCAAACATGTTTGGGCGGGATCAGGTGCACATCATCCTTATATCACATCATACCAATCTGTCACAAGTCAAGTGCTCCTCTAGTTCAGTCTCCATTTTCTCAGGTATACGCGATGCCCCAGGCGATGCTGAACTCGAGAATGCCTATTCGTGCATGCTTATGCCCTATGCTAATTGAAGCCGGGGTAAGTTGTCTGGCCACCCTTGGCTCAATATCCGCGACGTTGAGCCTGGGTCTCTTTTATATTAAGCCCGAGCTGTCGTATAACATGGGAGAAAATTGGGAGAGTCACACACCGATTTATGTTATGTCATCATTCGTGCAAGTAGTACCCTCAATTATTCCTAGTCGGACTCCCCATTGGCAGATTGCAAAGGAGCGGGTGATGACCACGGTAGTTCAATCCTTCGTGGACATCCTAGTGGTAGCATTATGGCTGGCAGTACTGTCATCCGGTTCGTGTGTCTTGCGGTGGTACTGAGAGCATGAAACCCAAAGAAATGGCAGTAGGAACCCTACGCTTAGCCCTTCCATCACACGGTCCAGTACACCTTTTGTTTCAAGCGCTCGACAAGTTCACAGGCCGCCTGGCCATATTCGTCGATCTTGACCTTAACCTCCGTTGTCACCTTCCTCTCGGTATCTTCCCTTATGGCCCCGAGCTTGCGGCCGACCTCCTCGAGATCTGTTTTTGCCTTGAAGGCCATCGTGCCGTACCGGCGGCGTCAACCTTTGCGGCTGTTGATTAGGTTGTTGGGCTGCGCACGAAGCCTTAGCCGATAGGCTCCATCGTATTATTGATGCTTACGGGATTGATAGGCAAGAGCGGTAGAGCCGGTAAAGCTAGTTGACCTCGGACACCTTCGACTCGCTATCCGCTGCAGGCTTTCGGCCGAGCTTGGGTTCAGGCTCGACGGGCTTCGCTGAGTAGGCTGCGGGAGGCGCGACCTTCGCGGGCGTATCGGTCGTATCCTCTACATTGAGGGGGCTCGATACGGGAGACTTGACGCCCTGTGGCCTAGCCTCCCCGCCCGTCATCAGCCTCAGCTCCACGACGCTCTCCTTTGTCTCAACCTTGAGCGGCTTCGTGGCGGGATTGATGCTCTGCAGCTTGGTTTCTCCGTTCTTTGTTTGACTCAGCTTAGCATCATACTCCTTAGTCTTCGTCTTCCCCTTGCTTACGGCTCTGGACTGCCGGTTGGCAGGCTCCCCGGCATCAGCGACCTTTCCCGAGTCGCCGCTGGTGGTGTGGACAGTCACACCTGTGACGCTAGCCTCAGGCATGCGGTCAATGTTGTTGGGGGGTCCCTTGCGGAAGTCGAGCAGGTAGGGCATGGCCCTCTTGCCGAAGGGGATGTGCTCGATGAAGAGGTTATAAAATTTGTCGTTGACACAGGAGTACCAGATGCCGCTACCAAAGCCGAGGGTGCCGAGGATAGTGAGGGCGAGGCCAAAGTTACCGAGGCGTCGGTGGATCCCCCTTTTCAGCTTGCCCAGCAGAGTTGGCGTGAGGCCAGGGGTATTCGCTGCGGCGTCGGGGGTGGCTTGGCTATTCGGGGTCGCAGCAGCAGATTGGGTACGATGGATAGGGCTACCCTTGCTCCCGAGGGTGTCAATGGAGGGATTGAGCTTATCTGCTGAGGGCTTCTTCTCGCCTGCGAAATATCCCTGTGGGTAAAGTAAGCACTGAAGCAAGCTAGAACTATATTATATATTGTAAAGCTTTGCCCAACGGGGCAGAAAACGTAATAAAGGCTAGAATAAATATACCCTCGTGATGACTGCTCGACGATGAGGAATAACAGCCCAGGTTTCGTGGGCGTGGGCGCCGATTAATGACCACGAGGTTCGGAGCGACGTCTGCAACATGGGGAACTTTTTCGGGGGAATGGGTATAAGAACGAAAGGAAGGGGAACCCGGGTTTCTGCCGCTAAAAGCCAACCTTCCATTGGATTGGGAGCTCTCAAATACCTTTCCAAGCAAAGTCGCACCGGAGACCCGTTCATGTTACAAGCAGCTGACACATAGAGTCGGCCATACTTAACCTCTAGTCAGATCGTCATAGGATAAGTCGTTATTATGAGGTTAAAATAACGCGACATATATTACTATATCTCCTTAAAATAGTAGTCGATATTTTCAAGATTATATACATATAGGTACGGGCTCTCGAGGACGGAGTAAGTTAGATATAGTAGTTATCTATAGTAGGTTTCTACTAGTTATTATAGATTATATATTATAGATTAGAGCTTTACTTATATATAAAAATACTAATTCTATAGCTTTAATTATTTTATTATATAATATAAAATAGATAAATTTTATTAATTAATTTATAATTATTAATATATATAATAGACTATATTCTATATATAGCTTTAGTAAAAGCCTAAGCCGACTATTATACCGGCGCCGCGGCGACTATTATAATCCTAGTACTAGCTTATTAATAGTATTAAGTAAATATAATTAATAATAAAATTAAAGTAGTTATTTATTATATATAAATAAAATAATTAATTAGTATTTATAAAATATTTATTATAAGCTAACTATTTTAAAAGCTTAAAGTTATAAGCTATAGTAATAAAAGTTAAACTATAGAATATTGTAAACTAGTAAGAAGAAGATATAAGAACTAATAGGACTAATAAAGTAGTTTTAATAGTCTTAGTAGAGACTAATAGTAAAATAATATTAATTTATAATAAAATTAATAATAAAAAATTATTAATCTTCTAAAAAAGTTTAGAAAAAAAATATCTATATAAATTATAAGTTTTATTATATATCTAGTTTATCTTTTAAAACTCTCTAGTAATTAATTTAAATATTATTATATTTTTATATTTAAATATATATTTTTTATTAAATATTTTATAAATTTTACTTAACTACTTTACTTTATTATTAATAAATAATATTATAATCTTATTACTAGTTATATCTATTTAATACTATTAATAAACTAATATTAAAATTATAATATATTAATTACTTTTATTTAATAAGTAATTTTATTAAGTAATATTAATTTCTAAAAATTATAATATTTAAAAAAAGAAAACTATTTATTACTTTAAGCTTTAAAATAAATAATAAAGTTAAAATATAAAAAACTATTATTTTAATTATAAAAATAGATTTTAATTTTAATAATAACTATAATTATATTATTATTATTATTAAAAAATTATATAATAAAGTTAATAAATAAGTTACTAAAATAAAAATAGTTAAAAAATTTATTAATATTAATAAAAAAAATAGAGAATTTAATTAGTATTTTACTAATTTAAAATAAATTACTTAATAATTTTATAATTAATTAATAATATAAAAAATTTAATATAATAAGTTATATTATTAAAAGGTTTTAGTAAATACTTAAGTTAATTAATTTTTACTAAATATTACTTTTAGTAATCTATTTTTAATAAAAGATTTCTTTTTAATTAAATTCTAATTATACTTTATTTTCTTTTTTTTATTAAAACTTTTTTATATAATAGACTTTTATTAAATAATACTTTATCAGAGCTAAGTAATATAATTTAATAATATAAATAGGTCTACTACTTACTTACTAGAATAGCTAGCTATAGCTAAAAGCTATACTATAAAGAAGAAATCTTCTAATAATTATTAGATTAGTTTAATAATTAAATAAAATACTTAGAAAGTTATTAGTTAGTTAAAATCTATATTATAGAATATTATATCTAAAAAGAAAATAAAAACTTAAAAATAAGAAAAAGTATTATTAAAAAAAATAGTAAAATAATAACTTTTATAATAGCTTACTAGCTAATAGAAAATAACTAATTACTTACTCCTATAATATTATTTTTTACTTTCTTCGATATTATTATTTCTTTTTTGAATTTTATTTTATAAAATAAAAACTACTATAGCCTTTTATATATAAATAAAAATTAAATATATAATACTTTAAACTTTTATAATATTATTAATTTATAATATAATAATATTATTATTAATTACTTTATATACTAATATATCTTTTCTTTTAAAATTTACTATAAGTAAAATTTTACTAAAAAGAAAAATATAGAAAACTTAATAATAATAAAGCTTTAAAAATAATAAATAAAAATATTATATTTTAAAAAATAAAAAATATTATAATAAAATAGCTAATTAATTAATCTTTTTACTTATTAATCTTTTTATATTTCTCCTAAGCTCTTCTTTTAAATATAATTTATATTAACTTTATATATATTTTATTAGAGCTAAGTAATACAACTTAACATCTTAAACAAGTTTACTACTTACTTACTAAAATAACTAGTAATAGCTAAAAGCTATATTATAAAAAAGAAATTTTTTAATAGTTAATAAATTAGTCTAATAGTTAAATAAAATACTTAGGAGGTTATTAATTAGTTAAAATCTATATTATAAAACTTTATATTTAAAAAAAAAAAAAAACTTAAAAATAAAAAAAAATATTATTAAGAAAAGAATAGTAAAAAAATAACCTTTATAATAACTAACTAGCTAATAGGAAATAACTAATTACTTACTATTATAATATTATCCTTTATCTTCTTCTATACTACTATCTTATCTTAAATTCTATTTTATAAAATAAAAACTATTATAACCTTTTATATATAAATAAAGATTAGATATATAATACTTTAGACTTTTATAATATTACTAATTTATAATATAATAGTATTATTACTAGTTATCCTATATACTAATATATTCTTCCCTTTAAAATTTATTATAGATAGAATTTTACTAAAAAAAAAAGATATAGGAAACTTAATAATAATAAAGCTTTAGAAATAATAAATAAAAATACTATATTTTAAAAAATAAGAAATATTATAATAAAATAGCTAATTAGTTAATCTTTTTACTTACTAATCTTCTTATACTTCTCCTAAATTCTTTTATTAAATATAGCTTATACTAACTTTATATATATATTTATTATTATAAAAATAAAAACCTCTCTTATTTCCTAGTTATAGAACTTTCTTTACTTATAGTCTTATATCTACTATAGTAATTTTTATTAAATAGAAATAAATTAGGACTAAGATTACTTTTTAATCTATTATAATTAATAAAAAAGTAATTATTTTTTAAATTTCTATATTTAATATAATAAAAGTCTAGAAGGGAGCTTAAAGGGTTTTAATAGAGCTCCTAAAGTCTATTTCCTTTTTTTAGCTACTATTAAGACTTTTCTATAATCTATTAAATAAGCTAAATAATTAGTTTAAAGTTTAAAAATTAAAAATTAAAAAAGCTTAGTTAATTTAAAAGATTTTAAAAATATAAGATTATAATATAAAAGCTTACTCTTCTTATAAATATTAAAGTTAAAAGTAAGAAATTTAAATATATTAATAAGTTATAGTAATTATTTAGTAAATATATTAAATTTTTTAAAAAAGATAATTATCTTTAAAAATATCTAAATAGAAAAAAACCTAAAAAGCTTTTTAAAAATAAAATACTTAAAAAATAAAATTAAAAAATAAAATTCCTATAAGTTACTAAAACAGAACAATATAACCTACCCAAAACACCACAAAAAATAAAAAGAAACAGTTAATCAAAAAGATCTAAAATAGTTCCTATAAGAAATACTATAGTTCTACCTACAGAAATAAAAATAGATATCAGAAATAATTAATTAATAGAAAATAAAACTATATCACAACTAAAGAAGACTTCTAAATAAGGGGAAGCTAAAGATTATAAAAATATCAAATAGAAAACACTCTTATATATAAAATAATAGAAAAAATATCTAAAGTTACTATATAAAATAATCTATAAAAACTAATAATAACTAAATTAATTAAAAAAAAATTAATAACTAAAATAACTAAAAAACTTATAAAACTTATTAAAAAACTTATTCTTCCTCCTAAAGAAAGAAGGAAAAAAAAATAACTATAGCTATAGTTTATAATAAAAAATAATATTTTTCTACTTTTACCTTTATAAAATCTTAAAAATATCTCCCTTTTTATTAATATCCCTTTTTTTACTATTATATCCCTCCCCTTAAATTATTATTCTAGACCTTAAATAAAAACTTAAAATAAAAGTAAAACTTATAAAAATATAAAAAAAATACTATAATAATAAAAACCTATTGATTAATTAGATTTTACTTTTTACTTAAATACCTTCTCCCTTAAGTATTTAAAGAAAATATCTTATACTATCTACTTATATATATTAGATATCTTAATTTAATAAGTTACTTACTAATATTTCTAATTATCTTAAGAATATTTAATAAGCTTAATCTTTAGAAAATCTTTCCTTTATTTTAAAAATTTCTTAATATTAAACTCTATACCCTTAGAAGCTTTTATATATAGCTACTATTTATATCTAAGTAAACCCTAGATAGTAGTAGAAGACTATATATTTTATCTAATTATCTTAAAAGTAAGATTATTAATTAAGTTTTTAATAATTAGCTTTAGTAATTATCTTTTTAAAACTTAAAAGTAAAGTAATAATAGAAGTAATATAAGAAATTAAAACTTAGCTTTCTTTTTTAGCTAAAGCTATTATATTAAAATATTAAATATAGAAAGTAAATAAAAGCTTAGTTTTATAAATTAATAAAGTATAATTAGCTTAATAATCTTTTTAAAGAGTTTTATAATTTTAAAGCTTTTATAAAAATAAAATTTTTATTTTATTAGCTTACTAAAAATATTAATTACTTTTTATTTTAGTTTAATAATAAAAATTAATTAATTAATAAATTTAAAAATTATTAAATTTTTTAAAATAGTTTTTATTAAAAAACTAATAATTAATAAGTATAGCTAATTAAAAATATCCCCTAAAATTA